ATGGAAGCGGTGTCGCGATCCGCCGATCCTGGATGATCCAAAGTTGTTTCGATCTGGCTAGCTATTCATATATTCCCATGCTATGAGCAATTACGATAAACAGGCTTCTCAATACACTTATCAAAGTTCGGTCGCCCGGCAATGTAACAATGCAAGTACGCTAATGACACCGCACAGTGTCAGGAGAGACGCGACCCCTGACGTTGGAAGTGCGCTCCAATCTCCTTCTTCACCTGCTCAAGCTCTGCCCTGAAGCCCGACTGATTCTGTTGCAGCTGGTTAACTATTCGAACGATGTCCTGCAACCCTGGTTGGGAAATATCGGTCTCAAAGCGTCCAGCTACAGAAGCCCGCTCCCGGACACCTTCGAAGCTTGTCTCGCTAGGTTGCGGCTGGCCCGCCGACAGATCATTCTGAGAGTGATGCTGGACCACAACGTCAACATCTGGCTGGCTGACTGGCCGTCCATCTACACTCGGAAGGGAACGAGGGCTCTGTTGAGCTGCGACCTGGATTTCTGGTGCCTGCTCCGACCGCGATGTGTATCCATACGTAACCGCACAGTTGCCACCGCAACGCCACAGTCCCGGGGGCTGTAAAGTCTGAATACCGTGATCCGCGTGCTGTCCACCGTCATCATAATTTGCAGGCTGAGCAGGGGATTGACCCATGGCATGAAGGTCCGGAAGATCAGTGTGGGCTTTCGCGGTCATGCCGCCTTGAGGAAGAGTAGTTGGACGAATTGTGGGCTGGTATGCCTGCAGTGCTTGGTTGTTCATTGGGAATTGGTGACCATAGTTCAATGCAGGCCCGGCAGGATGATACGCGGGTGGCGCTGGGTTGCTGTAATAAAGAGGAAATTCTGTCGCAGCGCAGCTCCCACTCTGGGGCCCAACGGAATGGAGATGCATTTGCCATGTAGGTGGATGAGGTTCTGCGCTGGAAGCTTGCGCAGGCTGCATGATAGATCGCGTGTTCCCACTACTGTCCATCATGGATGTTTCACAGTCTGCAGTGAGTAGATGCAGTTCCACGAAACCCAGATGGGTGCAGCAGGCGAGTTTAAGTAGTTGAGAGACCCGGCTTCAAGCCCATGCCTCAGCTGTTCAACTACAGCCAGGGCATAATCATCAAAGTCGAGAAAGCAGGATTTCGTTGGTAGCAAACCAACAGAAATGGTGGCGTCCCTGACAGTGTCCAATGGTTTCGAAGCGGTGTTGCGAGGAAAGAGGCCGATGTATCACACCACGTCGCCCGCCACTACACCATCTTGAAACGTAATGTGCAGTAATTAATACGGCCAATGGTCCCTGTACTCGAGTAACTGCCGCCACAAACTTAGGCGAGGCAGAGTGGCAGCCAGATAGCGCAGTGCAGACAGGAACGCCAACGGAAGCGGGCGACAGGAAATTATTTTTCCAGGTTTCCCGGGAGCTAATTCCTCGTCGCGCCAACAGTGCCCTAGGTGCTGCCTGGAAGACGGAGGCAACCTGGTCCTCATGATTTGGAATTGTGTCCGATCCATGGCGGAAAAGGCTGGATTGGTTGGTATCGAGAGACAACTAGCGGCAGAGACGCGACGTTCCACGTGGGCCGCGGCAGCATGAACGAATCGCATCGCGTTTGCGGGCGCTTAGACAGTGAACCATGCGTACCACTACCTGCCTTGACGAGTTAGCTGTACTGCTGTGGAGTCTTGGCGCCAGACAGAACAGTTTCCCACGGACGGGACGCCACTCAAGCATTCCCTGTCTCAATGTCCAGGATCAACAAGAGAGACGTGAAAGGGTGGCCGAATGATTAAAGGAATCATTGATGGGAAGAGCAGAGTGCGGGGCAGGCCGGACATGCAAGTAGACAAGAAGACCAAGAACGGGCAACGGGTGACCGTGCACACATGGTTGTCAGCCATTTCTTCACGTCCTGTGCATGCCCACGCGGCTGGTGCACACGACCTTGGCAAGGCGAATGGCTGCGAGACATACTCCACTTCGCAACCCTTGTAGAGGCGGGGGCCGGCTGCTGAAGTTGCCGGGTTACCCCGGCAAAGAGCGTCCACTCCACGCATCCCGATGTTGGCACTGGCCGCGACGCCTCTGTGACACTGATGCCAAAAGGGCATCCAGCATGTGGGTGAGTGGTCAGGGTTGAGTTAAGAGCCGCCGTCTCGAGCCAGCGGACCCAGGACCTGCAAAGGCGGCTACCCCTACGACTTTAGCGCTACACAAGATGCCCTTTGCGTGAGTCGCTAGTCCCTGCTATCAGACCTAAAGTTTGTCGGACAGCTTTGGGGCCTGCGTTGGATGTGCCTTGGACAGGAGCGCGCGGCGAACAGACGCAGTGGTGTCTGACGTGGGTGGGAGCGGTTCCCTGATGTGTTCTGTTCAAGCAAACTGGTCTCGTCGCTCAGGCGAAAGGTACGAGACTGTGGTGCTCGGCCATTACCCAATTCATGGGGCGGCAAAGGATACCCTACTAGCGGGTCGGATTTAGCGCATTCTCAGCCGATCCACAAGCGCCGGTAGTTATTCGCGAGACAGGGGAGACAGAGTACCTCCCGTCATTCAGGGATGGATGGCGCTCCCTCATATGTTTACCATGCTCACCCGTCTCGCGCCGTCTCTGTTGGTCTCGGGGGGACAAGTAGGATTGAAGGTATTGAAGGACCCTACAATTGGTCTCTGGCGCCTCTCGCCCTGCTGGTCAGTGGACAAACGCGCATCGTCGAACAGCCGCCCACGCCTCGCTGCCTTGCGAGTGTGCGCGCCCCGATTGTGCCGAGCCGCTCCGCGGTCTAGGAATCGTCAGGGCCGGTTGGAAGCATATGCACCTCGCTTAACCCCCGATCTGTCACCTCCTGAGGCATTTGCCACGTGCTAGGCGACGCACCCTCGCCCTGCCACAAGGGCGGGCGGCTTGGCGGATGCTTGCCGAGGGCGGTCTTAACGCAACCTCGTCCGGTCTCTGGGCCTCTGAGTATTCGTGGGATGGTGGTTGGCAACGGCCAGGAAAGTACTGTGCAGTACTGTACAGTACCTTTACTACCTTGCAAAAAACCTCGCCGGCAATCCAGCCAACAAGTCGCCGAATTGTCTCCGGATCAATCAGAACGCGCACCACGCTGATGCCGTGGTTGCAGGATGGGATTTGTGCAATCTCGCGTCGCGAGGTTCGGACGCCGTTGCTCCGAACTTGCCGGCCCCGACGCTTGACCCTAGAAGGCAAGCGTGGACCACCTCGCGGCCGGACTGGCAAAGGAGTCAGCACGAAAGGGGATAAAAGCCTGCACATCATTCACACCACGGCTCGGGTGCATTCCTCGGCAGCTAAGCCGTGTACTTGACAGCAGCCCTGCGCAAACCCCGTCCCCCCCATTTCCAAAACTTGTCGGCCCCTGAGAGGTGTGGTGCGGACAGGACAAGTGCTCGACTAGCGCCCAACACCAAACTCAACGTCGTCTAGCGTATCCCGACGGAACGGGCCGGCCGTCCCCTCCCACACGATAGCCTAAGCGCCCGCACAAGTGCAGCAGGAACGCCATTGGGCAAGGGCGTGACGAGAAGTTTTTGCCTGCAGGGGTTTGCGAATCGCGTGAGGGAGGCTGCACTACTACGCGCCAGCGGCCCCTCCGACGAGGACAGGCATCAAGCGTCCAGGCAGTAAGCCGAGTGTGCCACGCGCGCTTTCTTTGGGGAGGTGTCCAGATGCTTTGTGCGAGCAGACATTCGAAGCCGTAGTGGACGTTATCCAGAACTCACGGTCGTCAGCTATACTTCGCATGGCGGTGCACATGACATCGGGATGGTGTGACTTACGATGCGGGGGCAAAGCAATCCTTCCCTGGACCAGATTATGTATTGTACATCGATGGCAGACTTGGCGTTGTGGTGCCTTCGGTGCCTCACCGGGGGTGACCATCGCAGCCGGTCACAGCCCCGGTAACTTCAGTGCTGCGCTCCGGCTCCTGTCGACCCATGAGCATCTTCTGCGCAATGACATGGATGCTGCTTGCAAGGGGGAACCAACGCGAAGGGCGGGGAAATTTTGCACGCAACTGTGGCATCAGGCTGATGCTCGTGCTGTACTGTACCTTAATTCGTGCGGCACTACATCTATTTTCGTCTATTTTCGTGCAAGACCAGGCCTCGGCCGAGGGCCCTCGTGACGTAGGGCTGTGCTCCCGCTTGCATGTCTGTGGGCGAAGCGTGAACGCAACGCTACTGTGCCGCCTTTGGGGGTGCTGGCAGGGGGCGCGGACACTTCCCGGGGGGAAAGGGGGGAGAGGCCGGGGAGAGGGGCCATTTGCTGCGCTGCCACTCCTGGCTTCGCAAACGTAAGCCGTATGTTACGGCACCGTCGGGGATAGGCACCCGGCCGCCGATCCGAACGCTGTGTACACGCATGCCACCCCCTTCACCCAACAGTGGCGTCCGTTAGGGAACACGCCTGCGTTGTTGTCTTCAAGCTGCTGAGCGTGATCCTACATTCTGTGAAGGTGGCATCAGGCGACTCATTCGGGCTCAGAACACAAGACACTGCAGCTTGTACTGTACTGCCTTCGATTCAAAAGTGTTGTTGCCCCTTTGAACAGTCTCATGCGACACATTTGGAGCTAAGTCTTTGACATGAAGTCGACTCTGTTCCCACCGGATTCGATGACTCCCTGTCGTTCTGAGATGCAGGACGCATCCGCACCCGGCGAGAGCCATACCAGCGTCGGTTACGATGGGTGGAGATGCCTCCGCAGCTACGACGATATTCGGCGATCCGCCACGTGTAGCGCGCGGCAGTGGTCGGAGCTTGGGGAATCGCAAGCAATGGGCTTTACTGTGCCAAGATGTTCCTCTAACCTTTGGATTTTTTTTGGAAGAATTTTCAGGAAGTCGAGAGTTTGACGTAGTGTTGTGGCACAAAATGTGTTCGTCGTCTAGATCACTCGCGAGTAACCTGACCCTACTGCACTGCGGAGGCAAAGTCTACTGTCCTCTGTTATCCAACTACTAGACATGCCCCACAGGATTGAGTTCAAAGTCGCTTCCGCGTGACGAAGGGACCTCGAAACAGCGGTCATTTGATGCAGAGCAGTCTTCGTGTCCCATGCTGTGGGTCCTGTCATAGCTTATCCCTCCGCCGGAACTCAGTCTCAGCGGCCAGCCAGCTTTGTCATGGCGTCCAGACAGGACACGACTGTCGGAGGCATCGTGGCTGTTGGACGGACGAACCCTCTTTGTCCACATATGCTGTAATAGAATGCGCATCGTTGGGAGGCAAGTACACAGTATACTGGTGGAGACCTCGACGACGGACCACATGAATCCAGTAGAGTAGAACCACGTAACATCCTTTTCGTCAAGGACTAGCATCGAAGTGACAAGTCTTGTGAGTGCCGCAGCACAATCACTGACAAGTCCTCTGTGTCAGCGCTATGAAGTAACCGAGGCCGCACCCCAAGAACTCACAATAGTCCCAGAAGAAAGATTAGACATAGCGCGATCTTCTGCGAGGTCGGTAGCTGTATAGACCACACACTTGGCATGGGCATCAGCCAAACTGCAAAGTCAGTGGTGATGTTGACGATGGCGTATCCAATGCCGAATTTTTTGAAATCCAAGCACGATCCTTTGCGTGTCCAGAAGGCGCTGACTGGTGTGCAGTTGAAGATGCTGATGAATGTGGAGGTTATACCCCACATGGCGACCAGCAGAGCCATCGTGTGTACCACCAGATGAAAGCGACGAGACGGAAATATACGTTTGTACAGGAATAAGAGCGACAACTTAACCGTTGGCGGTGCGACAACGTAGCAGATTTGGAAGTAATACAAAAGATAGTAGAACTGAGACAACTGGGCTTCGGAGACGACTGCCCGATGCTTTCCAAGTCCGTTCTGCCTACCTGAAATATCTTACAGTGAGCATTCGCTTAAAAGGTGACCTTTGAGGAACTCACAGGCCACGAATATTCCGAATAGTGCCCAAACCCAGATCTATTCGCATTAGTTTGTCCTCGCGACGGTGTAGTGCTTCGATGGCTCATTACCAAAGCGAGCAAGATGAATTAGTCATCGGCGGCCAAAGGCGCAGCCTTGAGGCGTCTTGCTGAAAACCGTCCAAACACAGCTAAGAAGGAAAGTATGGCAAAAGTGGTAATGCAGGCCCACAGCGTCAGCCCTCGATCCTCGGAGACGTCCGCGACTGTATTGGCCAGCATGATGTTCGATTGCCGCGTTGGTATCGTAGCTAAAACATTGAAACAATTTGGGAGATGGAAGGGGAAGGCCCAGGTCAGATGAAAAGGAGCAAGATACAGTAGTGACGTAGCATTTAAAGACTAGCTACTCGTGTTGACCATCTAACCCGCAATCACCGGACTCGAGAACCCAAGCCTGCTGGTTGCGTGGTCTACCAGGAACGCCTGCCACATTAGACGGCAGATACGATCTGTTGGTACTTAGTTGTCCAGCCGCTCGCCCAATTTTCTGTGATTGCGTTGGCTCGCACATCCCAAATCCCTGCCCCCATACTGACTGGGGTGAGGACGTTGCATCGAGCCGTGCCACTGCAACCCAGCAAGTTTCCCACGGCCGATGTGGTGTTCCCCCTTCTCTTGGCGGCGGACCCCCTCTTCTTGCCTAGAGGGAATTAAAGGGTGTAGAGGCAGCGCCCCGGCCCTGCTCACAACCGGCAACTCACCAACTACACTATACGCACCTTTTCACACAAAATGACGGAAGCAGAAGCGCCCACCTGGCAGGAACAGGCATTGCACATTTGCGCAGTTCGTGATGCTTCCATGGCAACGATCAAAGCTGAACTGCCCGACATGTCCGGTGACAAGCATATAGCCAGGGTTATCGGCGTTCCACGTCTGCGGCTTACTGAAAGGGACGTCCATATCACTGAGAGTGCTGTGGAGGACCTTGTGAGGCAGCTCGCAGCCGGCGAAGTGACGGCCAAAGAGGCTGCTTTGGCCTTTCTCCGACGTGCTGTTATTGCGCATGAGCTGGTGAGACAGAATAATACGTCGCAGGCTTTACAGGGCATTTGAGTTGACTGACCATGGATAGACAAATTGCATATACGAGCTTCTGCCTGACCGTGCCCTGGGTCGGGCACAAGAGCTTGACGACTACCTGGCCAACAATGGGCAGCCCATAGGTCCGCTCCATGGACTGCCCATCAGCGTGAAAGAGCACATTAGTGTTTCCGGATGTGAGAACACTGCCGGATTCGTCGGCTGGGCTGGCAGAAGAAAGGACGAAGATGCGAGCATCGTCAAGATATTGCTGGACGCCGGCGCAGTTCTATATGCTAGAACCACTGAGCCGCAAGGGCTGGTAAGCAATGCACCCTTCACTAATCTATATTGGGATGCTAATGTTACCGGTCATGGTATTGATAGATGGCAATCGAGACGCAAAGCAACATCACTGGTGTTACTGCGAACCCTCATAATCGCGCTCTCACATGTGGGGGCTCGTCTGGTGGAGAGGCAGCGTTGCTGGCATTGCGCGGGAGCCCACTTGGGATAGGGTCAGATATTGGTTAGCACAGCCCGCGACATGGCCCAAAATCAGAGACCTAACAAGATCCTAGGTGGCAGCATCCGTTTGCCGGCAGCTCATTGTGGGCTTTATGGATTCAAGCCGTCATCAGGTCGGCTTCCATTGATGGGACTCGAGGCTTACTGCATAGGTTCCGATACAATCGCACCGAGCATCGGTCCCCTATCTCCTTCCCTTGGAGGCATCAAACTATTCATGGACACTGTGTTGATGTCAGAGCCCTGGCACAACGACCCTTCCCTTCTTCCTGTACCATGGGCAAGTCAGGCGGCCCAAATCCACCAACAGGAAAAATTGCCTTTAGTTGTGGGGGTCATGTGGACGGATGGCATCGTCCAGCCTGCCCCTCCCATAAAAAGAGCGCTTTTGGAGGTTGTGGACAAGCTCAAGTCTACGCCAGATGTCCAGATTATAGACTGGCAGCCCTTCAAGCAGAATGAGGCACTGGAGATTCTTGTAAGTCGCACCACGTTTTGTTCTGTCACTGCAAGCTCGCTGAACCACAGTATCTCTACTCCAGAAGCGATTGTACAGCCCAGATGGGGGTAGAGCGTTCATGGAAAACCTCGCTTTGTCCGGCGAACCCATCTTGCCCCTCCCCGCTTGGACCGTTCGCGACCAGCCTGGAATCGAGGCACTCGACATCAAAGGTCTCTGGTATTGGACTAGAAAACGCGACCAGTTTCGCTACTCCTATCTAAAAGGTACTGCAAGACTTGCACGCCGATTAGCCCTAGATTGACAATCTTGCAGAATGGAATACAGTGGTGCCGAATATGGATGTCATTCTCTGCCCTGCGTACCCCATGCCCGCACCAGTTCATGGAACTTCACGGTATTGGGGCTATACATCTCTCTGGAACCTCTTGGATTACCCAGCCATTACCTTTCCTGTCACCAGAGTTGACCGTGAGAAGGATGGTCAGGCTCCTGGTTACATTCCCAAAAATGACTCCGACAGGTGGTGCTATGATAGCTATGATGTTCAGAAACAGAAGGACGCGCCGGTTTCGCTACAGTTGGTGGCGCGGAGGTCAAAAGATGCGGAGCTTCTACAAGCAGCAGAGAAGATCCAGCGGGAGATTGGGTTGCCTTTCGTGGATTGCCTGGCTTAGGTACGAGACTTGAGGAAGCGAGGGGAAAGGAACGCGGGAGGCGGCGTCGAAAGATCGCAGCCGATTCTGGATCGTCATATTGGCAACTGGTCTTGCTGGCGAAATGCGGCGCATGGCCCAGGACAAGGGGCCTCATGGCCGGGGCCTTCCACGTTCCATCTGTGGACGGAGATGCCACCACTCCGTCTACCCAAGTGCCTGGGGACGAATCCCTTGCTTATTACGTCGCTACGAAGCCCGACAAAACATGTATCTAATCTCGTAGGGTATTGATTGACTCCACTTCATGCTCGGTTTTCGTCGCCGTCGGCGTTTTTTGCTCGCCGTACACGGCTCGCCTACTTGGCGCTGACAATTTAGCTTTGCGTGCGAGCTGGGGTCATTCGTGATTCGAAGTGCCCGAGCGGTTCGCAGGCTATGATGCACTCCGACGTCGTCTTCCCGCACGTTATCGAGACGGGCACTACTGTACCTGTAGGCGACGCCGGAACTGCGTAGATCGCATGGTGCTTTCACGTTGCGGGCGGTAGTCGCAGAGTAGTGAAGCCGAAGCCTGGCTTGTGCCCACCACCAGTTAGTTGCTCATCGACTTGGTTTGGTTTGGTTTTGTATTTTGCGTCCAGCGACTTTTAGGTCGCTCAGGTCCCCGAGACGGGGCACAGGACGTGCTGAGCTGCTAGGAGTCTACAATCTGCTTATCGACACGGATGAAAAGCGTCTGTACAGGGTAGGAGAGCTCCCGCTCGGGCCTCATGCACGCCATCAGTAGTAACTCTGTGATTCGAACTGAGTGGGATGAAGCTTGCAGAGAGTTTGGGGAACTGGGCAGCGAACACGAAGAACGGGAGCGATTTCTGGATCCCTCTGTCTGTCACACAGCCTTGTATCCTGAGTGGTGTGAAGCATGCAGGACAAGTGATGTGAAGTAAAGTGGCTTGCAAGACGTGTGGTGTGAAGCCAAATCGGCTCCCAGGACGTGTGGTGTGAAGCTCGCAGGATGAATGGTGTGAAGCGTGCAGGCTTGCAGGACGTGCGGTGTGAAGCAAAGTCGGCTTGCAGGATGTGTGGTGTGAAGCATGCAGGCTTGCAGGCCGCGTGGTGTGAAACAAAATCGGCTTCCACGTCGAGTGGTGTGAGGCTTGCAGGATGAATGGTGTGAAGCATGTAGGCTTGCAGGACGTGTGGTGTGAAGCCAAATCGGCTCCCAGGACGTGTGGTGTGAAGCCTGCAGGCTTGCAGGATGTGTGGTGTGAAGCTCGCAGGACGAGTGGTGTGAAGCCAAATCGGCTCCCAGGACGTGTGGTGTGAAGCCTGCAGGCTTGCAGGATGAGTGGTGTGAAGCTCGCAGGACGTGTGGTGTGAAGCACGGGATGCGAATGGGGCAGAGGAATGTGGGAGGCGGCAAAGAAGGATTGCAGCCGCTTCTGGATCGCCGTAACGCCGACTTGTGGCACATTGCCCATGCCCAGGGGTAAATCCAGGGTGGGCACATGGGTGCAGACAAGGATCCGTGTCCCCTGTCATTCAGCCCTCCAGCAGCTTCTTTGCTTCACACCATCAACCTTCACTCCGCGATTCTCCACACCATCGCACCGGACATCCATGTTGACGCTTGCCTGCAACCGACAATGGCTCTTCTGAGTTGGCGGGAGTCAATCCGCAACTTGGCCACTCTTCCATCGTACAGTACAGTAGAAGCCCGCAGCAGTGAGTCGAGGAGCCGAAACTTGCGTCACATGAGAGTTAGGTAGAAACGGCCGCGGAAGGGTCTAGGACCGATGCACCAGACCCTCACTGTGCAGTTTGTTTCTCTCACCTTCTGCCGTCGCCCACCTGCACTGTACTTCACTCTCAGTCTGCGAAGAAGCAACGTTGAACAGTAATTAATTGGCCAGCCACGACAGCATCTACCACCAACATTCGCTGTTCGCATCGTCCTGCATCAAGGCACTGGGATCTGTCCGCTACCGTCTTATTCTGAGCAAAGCGCCGTCCGAATTCTTCATCGATTCTTCAGAGCCCCACGCAATATTGCACGCAGAATACCGGCCAAGCTGCCGATTGAAGTGTTAAGCTTACCATTCGCCATGACTTTCAACTACAGGGTCGGTCGGGCGTCGACGTTGTCGTTTGTGATGGCGAGAACGACGCTGGAGACGTCAGTCTATTTCGAGAAGACGGGCGTTTTACTTACGTCGAAGTGCACGACGGATTGCGGAACTCCGTCTCACCGTGTGTGCATGTTGAGGTCGTCGAATGTCCGCTCCCTCGCTGTGCCACGCACTCCGCAGCGGGACAGAACTCCTTGACCGTGTCACGTATCGCCGCTTCGAGCGCACTTGCCGAGAACGCGCCGCTTGGGGACGCGGGGAGGAAGGTAGTTCGCTTCGGGGTTAAGGCCCTTTCGGCCATTCTCCGATACGCGCAAATGCACTCGTCGACGGTCATGCGCAGCCGGCCCAGCATGATAGCTATGATTCTGCGGCGGTTAGTATAGGTGTGTCACAGGCTGCGACTACTTACCCGCCGGTGCTCGTGCCGCCGATCATGTCGAAGCGATCGCAAGGACGAGGCACCTCTGTCAGCCCCTCGGCTTCGCGGATGCGCTCCATGAGATGTTCGAGGATGAGCAGGCTCGAGAGCCCGCGGATCCCTCCACCATCTGCCGACGTCAGTCGATTCACAGACTGGCGTGTCAGTCGACTTACCCAGCGAGAGAATTCGGACAGCATTACACGTGGCGTGTGGATCCATCACGACTCAAAGACGGTTGCGGGAGCGATCCGTTCCTAGCGCATCCGACGTTCGAGGGTGACACATGTGCGGGGCGATAAGGTTTCGGACTTCGAGGGAACGTCACGTGGAACTGGGTGGCTGCACTGACCTGCTATGGTCCCCTTAACACGCCTCTGGTGCAAACCGACGAACTCCCCACATTTGGCTCGAAACTACGCGGCTCTTCTGGTGAGTAGCCCATCGGTCAATGCCTCTAATCAACCGCAATATCTTGTCTCTATAGTCCCCTAGGCGGCGATGTATTGGTAAGCCCAGCATGACGGAAAACGACTCTTCGCAATCTGGTCGTCGTCGTCTTTGTGCAGGTTATGATCACGCGGGTTTGCACGTCGTCGTTGTGCGGTGCGGCGGACCGCCGTGCTCGTCCAACCCATGGATTGATAGGCGAGGGATCCTTTCGACGCCGATCTACCAAAAGCTGAACGAAAGAAATCCGCAATCCCAAACGAGACAAATCCGGTCGTTCGCCAGGTTTATCACGGGAAGCGTTCTGCATGGCCGGTGAGATGCGGCGGCCAGCACAGGCAGTTCTTACGGCGGGCGTGTCGGATCGGTGTCCTCGTAGAAGGATACACCGAAGGCTGCGGCACTTGCAGGCATGCACGGCTATAGAAACAGTATTGAATCCTCTCTCGACTACAGCTATGAGCGAAACCCCCGTCCTCCTGTGCACACTCTTTTCTGATTTCTGGAGAGCACTGACCACGTCCCACTGCGAAAGAAAAGCGGGGCCACCTTGAGGACGTGAACTTGAGGAACCTGGTCGGTATTAGCCGTAGCTTAGCCGGCTGTCGGCCATGACCGGCCTGGCTCACTAGTGACACCTCGCCAATTTCCTGACTTCGTCAATCTTCCCGTAAGGTCTGCCTTTGCCCTGATGGCGCCAAATCTTGCCTGGTCCCAGCATCTCGCTATTCGCGGCATGATCCTCAGTAAGTCAGAAGGTGACAAGACGCTCACGAACAAAGACATAGCCCGTGCAGCCAACTGTTCCACTCGATCCGTACGCCGCATCCGATCGAATCTGCTCCTCTTCGGATCGACCAAGGCACCGCCAAACGGTGGTGGTCGACCGAAGTCCATATCTCCTCTCATGTTGACCGCACTGCTTGAAAAGCTCGCATCCGAACCCTCCTTGCGTTTAGAAGACATGGCTGCATTCCTCAATGACGAGTTCGAAGCCGATGTGACCCGTTTTAGCGTCGGTAGAGCCCTGCAGGCGGCTGGGTGGTCCCGCAAGTCGACACAAAACGTGGCCCAGGAGCGCAATGCACGACTGCGAGACGAGTACATGCATGAGATCTCCTGTATGAGGTCTGATCAGCTGGTGTTCATTGACGAAACTGGCGTGGACCGAAGCATCGGGACCAGGAACAAAGGCTGGGCACCGCGAGGGAGCAGACCACGCCAAGTCAAACGGTTCCACCGAGGCCGGCGGGTGCAAATACTTCCCGCGTATGCGCAGGATGGCCTGGTCCATTTCCAAGCATACACGGGGTCGACTGATGCCCAGGTATTTACCGAGTTCATCGAGCAACTTCTACCCTACTGCGGGAGATGGCCCAACCCGAAGTCCGTGCTGATCATGGATAATGCGTCCTTCCATCACTCCGAGCGACTACGGCAGATGTGCGACAATGCGGGGGTAGTGCTTTTATACTTACCCCCTTACTCGCCCGACCTGAACCCGATCGAGGAGTTCTTTGGGGAACTGAAGTCCTACATCAGGCAAGTCTGGGAGGATTAGATTGACTTTGTCAAGGACGACTTCATCTCCTTCCTTGAGGAATGTGTGGAGGTTGTCGGTCGTCGCAAAGCTAGTGCAGAGGGTCACTTTCGACGCGCTGGATCTCGCTTGAAACAGCAACGTCGGAGTGAAATTCAGGCCCGAACCCACGCAGGCTAACCACTACATACGCCTAGAGTTACACATACTGCTCCAAGAAGACATGAACATCTCGAACAAAACGACGTGCCACACCCTCCGACACACCTTTGTCGATGTAAAACTGCGCGTCGTTGTCCTCGTCCACAAGCTCCAGGTCAAGGCTCCTTGCCAAGGTTAGATCACGGGCCAGCTCGTATGCCTTCTTCTGGTCCAAGCTCCCCACTTGGGAGCAATGCCATCTACAGTATTCCTTCACGGCTTCATCTCGTAGGCCGGGAATGCTAAGCGGCAGCGAACGCGGAACAGAGCTATCCAGCGCACAAGAGGTCGGTGGCTCCGGATATCGCTTGGCATCTTGCTGCGATGGGATATAGTTGTTGACGATCATCGGTTGCACACCTTCAATATGCGAAGGAGAGACTTTCCTTTTCTTCCTACGATCGGTGAGCTGCTGCTCTTCGGCATATAGTTGCTCGCGAATATAGTCCGGGACGTCGTCAGGCCCCTGCAATGTGTTACCTTCCCGCACAAACTTGACGAGGCTCTTGAGTTGATGCGTCATGAGTTTGTAGTGTTTGTGGCCATTGGGGTCCAACCAGCAGTATGGCCCTCGGTCACATGGCGGTCCTGGGCAACGGAACACTTGGTACACGTGCCTGTACGGCGATGTGTCACCGAGCGATGCTTGCTCCGCATCGATTCTCACGTCAGACTCCGCAAGCTGCGTGGCAGTGGCACCACGCCCAGCGGTACGGGCCGCCTTGCCACTCTCCGCGAACTTAAACGAGGCGTCAACCTTTAGCTTCTTCCCAATGCGGAGAAGATGGCTCCAAGCTTGTAGCTGCCGTTCCACAGAGGACCAATCGATCTCAAGCTCCGCAAAGCTCTTTGTTATGGCCGGCTCGGATTTCTCGTTCACGGATACGACGATGGTTGATGAATCGGGTCTGCTGGGCTTCGACGTCGTCTTGGCGATGTCGCGGATCTTTGCGCACAATTGCTCACTCCAAAATTCGCTCGGCGCCACCACGAGATTGTCTTCTGTATGAATGCGGATCTTCCTGTTATTGAAGGCCACCTTCCATTCCATGACATACTTGATGCAGACCGGCGGGTTGAAATCGTACGACTGAGTCGGGGCCCAGTCGGCATACGGGACGAAGGGCAAAGCCGGACGCTGAGGCCGGAGCTGGCTTCGTGGAGGGGGGTGTGCATCGTTACGAGGTGGATGGATACTGGAAGCATTAGAGGATTGGCTTGCGGTCTCTGTGTCACTGAAAGTCTCATTCACTGCGTTCATGTCGCTGTTGACGGAAGAGGGAAATCCGAGAGCGATTCGACTCCAGGTCCGTCGTGACAAGAGCCAGTGCCGCCCAGGGATCCACGCGTCGTGCCGCAGCAGGCGACGACGACAAACATACTCCGATGCATTGTAAGTCGCATGTAACATGTGACGGCCTTGATGGTATAGCAACGCGATGGTGGGTACGACGAGAGGGTGGCTCCTCTGTTAGCAGGTGTCGCAGTCCAATAGGAACCCTGCTCGCTTGCTGGCGGCATCGCTGGGGGAGAGGAATGATTGGTGCCTGGGCGCAGGCATCCTGGCTGCCTGCCACTCCGCTAGGCTCCCCTGGGCGCCGTTGTGCCAACACAAGGCGTCCGAGCCTCCAGTCGAGTGAGGCTGCAATCGACCCCGCTGGAGGCTGTGCTGTCCGCACTCCGATTGCGAACGATGCATGGGTAGCTGGTCCGTTGACCTTCCCTTCCCCGCAAGATGACCCGTTGATTGTGTTCTCTCCACCCAGCGAAATTCACGACACTCGACATGCGCTCGGCGGCCGTGGCCCACTATGGAAGGGCTCGGCATTGCGGCCAATGTCATCGCGGTCGTGGACCTGTCCGTTAAAGTCACTGACTGGTGTGCCGAGTACTGCAAGTCCGTCAAGAATGCCAAGGATGACATTGTCCGATTCCGCCTGGAAGTGATCGGGCTCCTGACTGCTGCGAATGGCGTCAAGGAGCTACTGGCTGGGCCAAGTAGGGAAAGACTCAAAGCATCGCAGCAGCTATGCAACTCCGTCCAGCACTCCGAGTCCGAACTCCAAGCGGTGTACGAGCGGCTTCGCCCAACGTCGGCACGTGAGATATTTACACGGCTTGGGCTCCGAACCCTTAGATGGCCGTTCCAGGGCAAAGAAGTCGAAAAGATCATGCAAAGCATTGCGCGATGCACGCAGGCGATCAATCTTGCCCTGCAAGTCGATCAGACGTACGAAGGTCTGGCCAAAACTACGACTGTGGAGCTGACATAGCTATGGCTAGGAACATTCTTTTCGATCTCGATCGAAGGACTGTGCTCAATCGACTCGAGTCTGAAGTTGCCAAGGGTGCTTCATTCGACTCTCGCGCTGAGGAGCATCATGCGACATGCCTACAGGAAACTCGTGTCGACCTCCTGCAACAAGTATCAGAGTGGGCTCACGATCCTAGGGCCGAGGATGTTTTTTGGCTCAACGGCATGGCGGGTACTGGAAAGTCGACCATAGCTCGGACAGTCGCCCGTGATCTAGCCCACAATCATCGTCTTGGCGCTAGTTTCTTCTTCAAGAGAGGCGAGACTGATCGAGCCGGCATGTCCAAGCTTTTCCCTACGCTTGCAGCCGACTTGGCGAGTAACATACCCACGATTGCTCCGCATTTGAAGGACGCCATTGAAACTTGCCCCGGCATCCTGAGAAAGTCGGCACATGAGCAGTTTGACAAGCTCATCCGGCAGCCGCTTTCAATGCTTGCCTCTGATTCGTCGAGTCCAATACCCATCGTCGTCCTCGACGCGCTGGATGAATGTGAGGATGAAGAAGACATCAAGTTGATGTTTCGTCTCTTGTCCCGTGCCGCAAAGGGGCAGTCGGCGCGACTGAAGGTGTTTCTAACAAGCAGACCAGAGTTGCCAATACGGCTCGGCTTCAAAGGAATGGATGGCAAGTATCAAAACTTGAGGCTTCATGAGATATCGCAACATGTGATCACCCATGACATAACAATCTTTATCCATGAGGAGCTGCAGAGAATCCGACGCGAGTACAATTCGACGGTCCGGGAGGAGCGACAGCTATCGGGTGGATGGCCAGGCGCCTCCGAATTGGTAACTCTTGTTCACATGGCAATCCCTCTATTTATTGTCGCTGCCACCGTGTGCCGTTTTATCGGTGATCGGAGGCTTGGATCACCCGACAAACAACTTACCAAGGTCCTTCTTCGAGCAAGTGTAGAAGGCTCACAACTTGCTGCAACGTACCTCCCTGTTTTGGAAAACATGGTCGATGGGAGGACCTTACACCAAAGAGAGGAAAGTGTACGAGCGTTTCGAATTATTGTCGGTGGCATTGTCGTCCTTGCGAGCCCCCTATCAGTACCAGCACTAGCCCAAATTCTCGGTGTCTCCAAAGAGGACATTGAAGACAAATTGGACATGCTACACTCAGTACTCAGTATCCCGGAAACGGCAGAGGCACCAGTACGGCTGCTTCATCTATCCTTTCGCGACTTTCTAATGGAACCAGGTCAACGAGCAGAGAATCCGTTTTGGGTAGACGAGAAAGAGACCCACCAGGTGATGGCGGCGCACTCCCTGCGTGTGCTTGAATGCCTGCAGCAAGACATGTGCGATATCAAAGCTCCTGGGACGTTTCGGTCGGCTATCGGACAACATAGAATTGAGGCCTCTATTCCGCCAGCTGTTCAATATGCCTCTGTGTACTGGGTCTATCACTTGCGGAACGGAGGCGAGCCTTCTCGCCATTGCCGCCAGGTCATGTCCTTTTTGGAGCGCCATTTCCTCCATTGGATAGAATCATTAAGCCTCATAGGCAGATCCAGGGAGAGCGTCCATCTTGTTGGGGCATTGCAACTACTCTACAAGGTTCGCAGTGCGCATAGGTCATGAGCGAATGCACTCAGCTAATACCAAGCCAGGACGACGGGCACAAAGAACTGGCTGAATTCCTTGATGATGCAATGCGTTTCATCCAAGCATATAGTTTCGCCATCGAGAACACGCCACTTCAAGTGTATTCCTCCCTCCTTGTCTTTTCGCCAAGCAGGAGCAAAATTCGCGCTACATTCGGAAGCCAGATCCCGCGATGGATATCTCTACGGCCGACGGTAAATGACAATTGGGGACTATGCATGCAGACGCTCGAGGGCCATGATGACCTGGTCAGCTCGGTGGCCTTCTCGATCGATTCGACGCTCGTGGCGTCGGGCTCTCACGACAAGACGATCCGGCTCTGGCGCGTGGCCACGGGCGAGTGCGTGCAGACGCTCGAGGGCCATGACCAATCGGTCAGCTCGGTGGCCTTCTCGATCGATTCGACGCTCGTAGCGTCGGGCTCCCACGACAAGACGATCCGGCTCTGGCGCGTGGCCACGGGCGAGTGCGTGCAGGCGCTGGAGGGCCATGATAACTGGGTCAGCTCGGTGGTCTTCTCGGCCGATTCGGCGCTCGTGGTGTCGGGCTCTCACGACAAGACGATCCGGCTCTGGCATGTGGCCACGGGCGAGTGCGTGCAGACGCTCGAGGGCCATGGCCACCCGGTCAGGTCGGTGGCCTTCTCGATCGATTCGACACTCGTGGCGTCGGGCTCTTGGGACAAGACGATCCGGCTCTGGCGCGTGGCCACGGGCGAGTGCATGCAGACGCTCGAGGGCCATGATGACCTGGTCAGCTCGGTGGCCTTCTCGATCGATTCGACGCTCGTGGCGTCGGGCTCTCGCGACAAGACGATCCGGCTCTGGCGCGTGGCCTCGGGCGAGTGCGTGCAGACGCTGGAGGGCCATGGCCACCCGGTCAGCTCAGTGGCCTTCTCGATCGATTCGACGCTCGCAGCGTCGGGCTCTTGGGACAAGACGATCCGGCTCTGGCGCGTGGCCACGGGCGAGTGCGTGCAGACGCTCGAGGGCCATGATAACTGGGTCAGCTCGGTGGTCTTCTCGGCCGATTCGGCGCTCGTGGTGTCGGGCTCTCACGACAAGACGATCCGGCTCTGGCGTGTGGCCACGGGCGAGTGCGTGCAGACGCTGGAGGGCCATGATAACTGGGTCAGCTCGGTGGTCTTCTCGATCGATTCGACGTTCGTAGCGTCGGGCTCTCACGACAAGACGATCCGGCTCTGGCGTGTGGCCACGGGCGAGTGCGTGCAGACGCTCGAGGGCCATGATAACTGGGTCAGCTCGGTGGTCTTCTCGATCGATTCGACGTTCGTAGCGTCGGGCTCTCACGACAAGACGATCCGGCTCTGGCGCGTGGCCACGGGCGAGTGCGTGCGGACACTTAAGGCTGGGTTTACTTCGTTCCGCCTGTCTTTCGGCCACGGCAAGTCAAGTTTGATGACCGATTGTGGTGCAATTGCCACACAAGTGGAGGCATCTGAATGTTGTCTGACTGACGCTGTCGCCAATGCAACGGATGTTGTTTACTCCTTATTCGGCATCAGCGAAGATCAGACCTGGATCACATGGACTGGAAAGAAGTTGTTCTGGCTGCCCAAAGAATATCGGCCCTCCGCCTCTGCAGTATCTGGGTCTAACATCGCGATTGGCTGCCGGAGGGGTTGCGTAAAACTCATTGGATTTTCGCATCAAGGTCTCTCACAGAAATTCACGGATCAAGGAGAGTGAAAGGCCAAGTATATTAATTTTCGCACCTTTGTGAAGGAAGGTAGAGGTGATGTCTCCAATTTATACCTTGAATAATTGTTGCGGAATGTTCTCGAAGTATAGAATACTTTGTCGGCCCCGATGTGCTGCAGGGGCCTACAGGAAGGTCTCGTTACCATTATTGGTGAAACGAAGAGAGGTAGCAAGTGGGGCAGAACCTGGTTGCTGATCCCTGATCGCAATCGAATACTGGCGTGCGTCGACAGCCCCAAATTTGTTTTTATTTCCACGTTGGGTACTTTGGGGTCGAGGTTGGTTGTCAAGCATTTCAATCGATGGCTCCGGCGAGTCTGCTAGATTCCGGGTTCCACCTTAGTGTGAACCGCCCACGGGCTGGCAGTGGCGCAGAGCTACAGTACCGACCTCGGTTAAGCTCTGGCTAATACCAAGCTTGTAATCCAGTAGTATATCACATAAGCAGCTCCACTTATCTGGCCAGTTTGGTGATGGTCCGTGCGTCCAAAACGCAACAAGAGAGAGTGAAAAGGAGGAAAGGGGTTTCGCTCGCAGCTGTACCGTCCGTCACAAAGTCGTAAACGTAACAATTAATATACTTGGCTTTTCGACCCCGGTGATCCGTGTATTACTCTGGGACGGCTTGATGCGAAAATCCGATGAGTATTACGCACCCTTTCGCGGAGCCAATCGCGATGTTAGACCCAGATATCGCAGACGCGGAGGGCCGATATTCCTTGGGCAGCCAGAACACGTTGTTTCCATTCCACATGATCCAGGTGCGGTCTTCGCTGATGCCGAATGAGGAGAAAACAACAGCCGAAGCATTGGCGATAGGGTCAGTGGGAGAACATCCAGATGTCTCCACTTGTGTGGCGACAACACCACGATCGGTCAGCAAACGTGTACTGCAGTACTCGAAAGACAGGCGCAACGAAGCAAACCCAACATGAAGTGTCTGCAGGCACTCTCCAGTGGCGACGCGCCAGAGCCGGATCTTCCAGTCGTCGGAGCCCGATGCCACGAGCGCTGAATCGGGCGAGAAGGCCACCGAGCTGACCCCGTTGTCATGGCCCTTGAGCGTCTGCACGCACTCGCCTGTGGCGACGCGCCAGATTAGGATCGTCCTGTCGTAGGAGCCCGATGCCACGAGCGCTGAATCGGGCGAGAAGGCCACCGAGCGGACCCAGTCGTCATGGCCCTTGAGCGTCTGCACGCACTCGCCCGTTGCGACGCGCCAGAGCCGGATCGTCCAGTCATTGGAGCCCGATGCCACGAGCGTCGAATCGGGCGAGAAGGCCACCGAGCTGACCGAGCTGCCATGACCCTTGAGCGTCCGCACACACTCGCCCGTGGCGACGTGCCAGAGCCGGATCGTGTTGTCGTCGGAGCCCGATGCCACGAGTGCTGAATCAGGCGAGAAGGCCACCGAGCTGACCCAGTCGTCATGGCCCTCGAGCGTCTGCACGCACTCGCCCATTGCGACGCGCCAGAGCCGGATCGTCCAGTCGTCGGAGCCCGATGCCACGAGTGCTGAATCGGGCGAGAAGGCCACCGAGCTGACCCCGTGGTCATGGCCCTCGAGCGTCTGCACGCACTCGCCTGTGGCGACGCGCCAGAGCCGGATCGTCCCGTCGTAGCCCGATGCCACGAGCGTCGAATCGGGAGAGAAGGCCACCGAGCTGACCCCGTCGTCATGGCCCTCAAGCGTCTGCACGCACTCGCCTGTGGTGACGCGCCAGAGTCGGATCGTCTGGTCGTCGGAGCCCGCTGCCACGAGCGCTGAATCGGGCGAGAAGGCCACCGAGCTGACCCCGTCGTCATGGCCCTTGAGCGTCTGCACGCACTCGCCCGTGGCGACGCGCCAGAGTCGGATCGTGTTGTCGTCGGAGCCCGATGCCACGAGCGCTGAATCGGGCGAGAAGGCCACCGAGCGGACCCAGCGGTCATGGCCCTTGAGCGTCTGCACGCACTCGCCTGT